TCCTTCCTTCCTTCCTTCCTTCCTTCCTTCCTTCCTTCCTTCCTTCCCTTCCCTTCCCTTCCCTTCCCTTCCCTTCCCTTCCCTCCCTCTCTGGAAGCACAGGGGTTAGAATGCAATATTGCAGGCTAACTCTGCCCACAGCCAGCAGTTCGATCCTGACCGGCTCAAGGTTGACTCAGCCTTCCGTCCTTCCGAGGTCAATAAAATGAGGACTTAGATTGTTGTGGGAGCAAGATGCTGACTCCGTAAACCACTTAGAGGGAGCTGTGAAAACACTGCGGAGCGGTCTATAAGTCTAGGTGCTTTTGCTATCGCCACTGCTCCCTTTACTTTTCACGCCTTCCTCCCATCCCTCCCTCCCTCCCTCCTCTCTTCCAGGTGCTGGAGCTTTGTGGCAATGAAGTGCAGAGTTTAAAGGACCTGTGCACATCTCCCCCAGCCGGACTTCAGCATCTGGGTCTCGGCCACAACTGCCAGATTGGCTCCTCGGAAGAACAATTTTTGGCAGCTGCTTTCTGGTAAGCACGAAGGGAGCCGATTGCAGGGAGGGTCAAAAGAGATTTCCCCACCCACCCTTCTTTAAAAAGGGGCCGTTTCCCCCAGATCTGGATCCTTCTAGTCACCCTGGAGGAAGGAGGGCAGGGGAGGAGGCTTCACACAGGATGGAGGGAGCACAGTGCGGGAGATGAGCCGTGTCTCCCCTGCAGTTTGAGGTTTCCCTTCAGGCATCTGGAGGTGCAGAGAAGATGTGGCTGAAATTCACCCTCAAACGGAGGGTGGAAAAAGGGCCTCTGTTTTCTCCAAGGGATAATAAACATTCAAAGGGTTTGAGATGTGATGAACAAAGGAGATTATATTTTTTTTAAGCCTAGCCCAAACTCTCTTTGAGGGATTGGGAGCTTTAAGGGGTCCTTGGTGCTCTCTGAGCTTGGCGATTTTCTTGCAGACGTCTCATTACCCATCTAGGTAGCCTCATCAGTGCTGCAGCGATATTGTCACCTAGTTAATTAATGAAACGTCTACAAGAAAACCATCGAGGTCAGAGAGCACCAAGGAGCGCTCCTTTCAACCCCGGGCTACCAACTTTTGTCATGCCCCTGTTGGAATCTGATTCTGAGGGGGAGTTGAGCAGCTGACAGGGAGTGGGAGTGGGGCTCCGGTGGCTGTGGAAGAAACTGGGGAAGGGCACAGTCCAGCTGGGTCTTCAGAGGAAGACCCAGGCCCACCCTCTCCTCATCCTAGGGTACGCAGGGAGGAACAGAGAAGGGAGCAACGTGGTTTATGGGGGAGGAAAGGGCCCTGATCCCCTTCATGCGCTGCAGCTGGGAAAACAGGATTTAAAATGGGCGTTTGCGCACAGCGCCTTGCTGAAAGCAAAGCATGAATTATTTTGGTTTGTCAAGTCTTATTTGGGTTCCAGCGTCCTCCCAGCTGTGTGTGTTTTGTTATCTTTTGAAGGCTGCAATTCCTTGTCCTTCCCTGTCTCATTAATTGTTGCAGTTGTGCTTTGTGTTGGTTTTTATTTATAATTTATATGTACTTTGAGTTCTGATGGAATTTCTTCCCTTTAAAGACTGTTCTTGGGAGGATTTTTTCTCCAGCCGATGATAACTGGACATTGGGGGTCAAGTTGGAAGGTATTAAAGTGACTTTACCGACTTTGGGGACTTTGTTGCTTTTGTGCCAGGCCCCTTTGGGTCATCACACCAATATTCTCCTTGATGAGGAGCTGTGTTGTACCTACCTATTTTCCTCCTCCTCAGGCCCAACCTCGTCTCCTTGGACTTGTGCTACAACAATTTCACCAACCTCTTGAGCCTCCTTTCCACACTTTCCACCTTGAAAAAACTCCGGGTCCTCGTGCTGCAAGGAAACCCCTTTGCTCTCCTGCCGGGCTACCGAGGTTTCACCATCGACAGCCTGCCCCACCTCTCCGTTTTCGATGATGTCATCATCACCCCGGAGGAGAGGCACAATTTCCTCAACCTGGCCACCTTCCCAGGTGAGTTTTCCTCCCGTCCTCAATCCCACCATGCAAAGTTCTGCTTGTGTAAACCCAAACAGGAGCATCGTTGGCCAGAAACAACCAGGACTTCTCCCTGGCCTTTCGGGTCACATCTCCTCGGGGTTCCTTTCCTACCCATCAGGGATTTATATTGGTGAAGAGAAAGTCCCACCAAGGGGTTGTATTTCCCCCTGCTAAGGCATCCTCTTTCCTAGCCTTCCTTCGATGACTTCTCCTAAGGTATGGAGAGGAGATTGGCAGACTGGACTGCCGAGAAATTCTGCAGATTTTTCGCCTCATTTGCCGATGGCGAATTTCTCCTCTCCTGTTTCGCTGATCTTTTTGCAGTTTAGGAGAGTTTTCTTACGGTCTGGCAGCATCTTTTTCTGACAGGCGGATTTTATTAAACCCTTTTAAGAAAGGTTTTAGCTTTTCCATACGTTTCGTGGAAGGTTGTTTTAGGCGGCTGGAAACAACAGCCTCCGTAATTGAACGATAGAATTCCATCTTCTTGAAAATCCTTCCAGAAGCTTGGAGCGAACGAATTCCCTCATTTGTTCATTCGTTTAGCGCCTACCTAAGATATGCGAACCGTACCATATAGAAGATAAAACACTAAATCAAGGTTAAAAAATATTGGCAGACCGCTATCCTGTCAACTCCAATCTCCCCAGTTGGCTAAACAAATTCACATGACGACTCCTCCTGTCTGGAGCTTGGAGAAATTCAGACTTTTTTTTTCCCTTCCCTCCCCGGCTTTTCCAGAGATCTTGCTGTTGGATGTCCAGCTGATAGTCACCCTTGGCAAAATGCGAGGGGTCCCCAACCCATTTAACCCCGAGGACTTGGAAAGCAGCTCTGGCTCCCCGATTGTAAACTATAGTTACTACGTGACGTATGAATTTGCCAAAGGAGAAAGAAAAGAGAAGGCAGCCGGGAAGGTAAGAAGTCTTTGGAACTTTTTAATCCTTTGTTTCTAAGTTATATCAGGGTGCGTGATTAAAAACAGGGATGCCCTGGCTTAAAATAAAAATAAAAATAGAAAAAGCATTTGAGGGCACCACAGGGGTGTTTCTGCTCCAGCACAGAGGCACGTTGTCTGGAAAGGACGCGGCGACCTCGCCTGGGGTGATGGTGGCTGGAGAGACAGTCGAACCCGTGTCTTCTAAGACTTCGCCCAAGTCAGACCTGCAGCCTGAGCCGGAAGGTGCGTAACCCTCTTGGTAGGATTAAACACAGCAGGTAGGAAAGAAGGATCTGCTCCTTGGACTCTTTGGGGTGCCAGGAGCCCAGTTTTTGAGAGCCTCACTGTGGCTGCAGGATACACAGAGGTGGTTTTCAGCAGGTTCTGACCAGTTCTGGAGAACTGGTAGCGGAAATTTTGAGTCGTTCGAAGAACCGGCAAATACCGCCTCTGACTGGCCCCGCCCCCATCTATTCTTTGCCTACCAAGTCCCAGCTGATTGGCTGGGTCATTATTGGTTGCCCAGCATAGGAGAACGGAGCTGGAAAGCAGGTTAGTGGAGTGGGGAAGGAATGGGGATTTTGCAGTATCCTTCCCTGGCCACGGCCACAGAACCAGTAATAAAAAAAAATATTTTTTTTTGGAATCCCACCACTGGAGATACGTGATCCATTGACCGTCACAAAATGAGCAAGGTTTATCCAGCAAGCCAGGCCGCGAGAACGAAGCAAGGTTAGCAGCCTGGCTTCCCAGCCAGTTCAACCGGTTGTGGGAAAAGACTATTGTTTTTTTTTTTTTAAAAGGCAAACAAAACACCAAAAAATGTTGTGGAAGGCAGAGCAGCTCACATTTCCCCATAGTTTTCTTTCTGTGTTTTTCACACCTGTCAGTTGCTGACCTTTGCAGAGAAAAACATCTGGTTTTCAGTCTATGCGTCGAAGACTTCTGAGTAACTGAGAAATTTGGAGAATGAGGAGGAGGGTGAATCCCTGGTTGGTGGCTTCAGCTCTCCCCTTACCAAAATGCGTCTGCAACCCAACGGTGGACGGAATGGAAAGCTGGTAACCGTCGCTGGTTGGACGGCAGGTTTCTTTCTTCTTGCCCACTTAGCAAATACACACTCTACCGCCAAGAAGGGCTGGACGGAGACCGCCGTCGACTGGGACTACCGAAAAGAGCACCTCACCGAAGATCTGGTGTCTCTCAAGGCTTATCTTCTGGCCGGAACCACCGTGTCGGTGGTTCAAGAAAAGGTGTAGTAGTGCACTCCCTTAAGTTTTGGCTTCGAAGAAACTCCACCTTGGGCTGGTGTGGGTGCGAGTGTGTGTTTTCTTAAGTGCCTCCTGCCATCCCGTGTGTTTCTTTAAACTTGGTTTTCCCAACTTGGACCAAGTTTTTGTCCTTGTCTGCGATAAGAGACATTTTTGTCTTCAGCTGCAAGGCTTCCTACTGTCCTTTCCTTTCCTTCCTTTCCTCCCCCCTCCCACTACTCCCTTTCCTTCCCTTCTCCTATTTTCCTTTCCTTTTCCTTTGCTTTCCTTTTTATCTTCCTTTCTTTTCCTTCCCTTCTTTTCCTTTCCTTTTTATCTTCCTTTCCTTTTTTTCCTTCCCTTCCTTTCCTTTTTATCTTCCTTTCCTATTTCTTTTCCTTCGCTTCCTTTCCTTCCCTTCGCTTTCCTTTTTATCTTCCTTTCCTTTCGTCTTTCGTCCCTCCCTCCTTTTCCTGTCCTCTCCAACTCTCTCTTTCTTCCAGAGCAACAAAAACACTCATTTCGCAGGTTGTCTCCTGGCCCGTCATCCCAACTCTTGAAGAAAAGCCAGGCAAGAAAGGAAAAGGAGCGAAAGAAAAAGCCGATTCGGGAAAGGCAGAGAAAGAGAAGGAGAAGGAGAAAGAGAAGGAGAAGGAGAAAGAGAAAGGGAAAGGGAAGGACTCTGGAAAGGTAAGGCTGTGAGAAGCAGAACATTGTGTTTTGTGTCACTTCCAAGATTGGCGGAGTGAAAGAAACAGATCCAGGCAATCAGCATCCACGGTGTGTTTGTGGGAGGCAAAAAAAAAGGCCAAGAAGGTGCACAGAATCCTGCATTAAAATCCCCTTCCGTGTCCAACTAGGCTGGGAACAAAAAGAAAAAGAAATCCCTTTCCCCAGAGCTCCGAAGCGACCCGCCCATCGTGAAGATCCTGGGATCCTTTCACATCAACTTAGAAAAACTGCTAGCAGGGGACTCGGTGGTGGAGACCGTCTGCAATTTTGGGGTACAGATAATCGAGCGGAACGTCACCCCACCATCACCCAAAGACAAGGTGAATGTGCCTTTTCAAAATCCTGTTGCATTGCGTGGAAAGGTACTTATTTCCTCGGTTGGTGGAGCTGCTCAGCTCAGCAAGCAGTGGCGAGCTACGTTCAATAAAAATGAAGAAAAAAAAAAAACCAACCCAATATTGAATGAACAAAAAAGCAGCATCAAATAAAAACGGGGAAAATGATATGAAAGAAAAACAATATGAAGGAAAAATGAAAGCATGAATTAAAAAATAACATAAACAAGGAATGTTATGCTGAAATCCGTCTTCTATTTTGCAGGAGGGTAAGAAGGGTGCAAAAAAGGACCTCAAAGCCAAACCTGGGACTGACAGTGTAAACTCCAAAAAAACACCCCCGCCCCCAACTCCGTCCCCCGTCAAAGGTAAGCTAGGAAGCTGAAACTTCTGGAGTATTTGCACCTGTGAACATATTTTAACAACCAGAATGACACAACTCTACAAGTTCTTTGGATTGCAAACCTCCTGGACTCTCACCCAACACTGAAACATTAAGTGTATTCAAAAGGGGTTAGCTTCAATATTTGTCTTTTTTAACTCCTGTCCTTCCACCCCCGTAGTGGTGTACGAGATCTCACTGGCAAGTTTTTGCTGCCATCCTATGGACTAGAAACTTTAAAAAGACAAGAGAGAAACGACGGGCAAACCACCGTGCCCTGAACTCCTGTTGCCTGCCTATTATACCTACCTCCAGGTTCTAGGATTCTGTTGACCAACCTTTCTGGACCTTGGCCGCTTGAAGGTGGTTGGACTTCAATTCCCAGCGTGCTGGCTGGCCGGGGAATTCTGGGAGTTGAAGTCCACTCCTCTTCGAACGGCCGAGGTTGAGAAAAGCTAGGGCTGGTTTTCTCCAAACGGTGTGCCTCGACACTTTTGAGAGAACCTCAGCCTGTCTTGAGAGCCGGCCGGAGGTTGCCTTGAACGTTTCTCCACATGGTTTCGTGCACGAGAACGTTCACACGCGACGCACAGGTCCAGAGAGGAAGCGGTGAACCTGGGCAACCGCTAACGGCGGGATTGATTTCGGATCTTTTTGCAGGAAAGGGGCGGAAGAAGGATTCTTCAGAGGGCCCCGACCAGCAACTTGGCCAGCCTCTGACTGTGGAATTTCAGATGCAACACATCAAGTGGGACTCCGCTTCCTCCGCCTTAAAAATGCTGGAAGCCTTGGAATAGGCTTGAAGAGAGCAAGACCGGTTTCCCCTTCGAGGCTGCTCCTTTCTTGAGGGCGATGTTGCTTTACTGAAAGGGATAGAATCTATAGAGCAAGGGCAGACTTCTTTTGCTCCTCCATTGGACCAGATTTTCTGTCGGCCGGGGAATCCTGGGAATTGAACTCCACCCATCTTACGGCTGGCAAAGAGCAAACCTAGGAGCTGACGGGCTGTTTCTCTTGCTCAAATCAGCACCCACGTTTATGCATGACCGCATAAGGCCTTGCATAAATTAAAGGACAAATGCCAGGAGCTCAACCTACAAGCAGACATAATGCACCTGTTTTAGCTCAACGCAAACTTAACTCTGCTAAAGTGGTTCCAAAACCTGGCATCGTCGGAAAAGTCAATAAAATAATTAAAGAGAGGCGTCCTATCTGCTTGACAACATTCCAATTGTTGTCTATTTCACACAGCCCCCGGTCTGAATTCTGAACGCAGCTGCTTTAAAGAGTTTGTCCTAAGTTAGGGGTCTCCAACCTTGGCCACTTTATGACTTGTGGACTTCAATTCCCAGAGTTCCTCAGCCAGAAAGTTTTCCCACCTCCACTTTGCTGAAGTCAAGATTTATTACATCTACCGCATTACCACCATCTATTATTAAGTTTATGAAAGAAATGTGATAAAGTTGCCTATTGACATTTCTTCTTGTCCCATCCATGCTGAATTTTGGGTAACTCTTTGCTGGCTGAGGAACTCTGGGAGTTGAAGTCATCCCCACGTCTTAAAAGTGGCCAAGGTTGGAGACACCCCTGTCCTAAGTGACTCCCTTTGGCTACAAGCCAAGCCTGGTCCCTCAACCATAACAACGGATGTGTTTCCCAGTGCACTTTTCGCCCTACTGTTACCACAAAGGAGTCAAGTTTTTGTTCCTTGGATTTTTATTTTAAAAATGGGTTTGGGGAGAATGATCCCCGAGTACATCACTAGAAAAACAACCAACCACACAAAAATGACATTTAGGCTCCAAACGGTTAAAATTCTCCACAACTAATCTTTGAAATTTCAGGTAGAGCGTTTTGTCCTTCACAACACAAGCACCTGTCGCTTTTTTCCTAAAATAAAAAAGGCAACACAAAGACACAGCCCTTAAGTGATTACAACGTGCGATTACCTCAATATAGATTCTGGCGACGGATGGATCATCTCAAATCAGCCCTCAAGCCCCAGAAAAATCACCCCCTTGGTAGAATTATCTCGCATTTGCATAGCTGTGAATTTAAACAGACAGGAAACAGAACCACCTCGGGCTCAAAGCCGAGGGCCAACCAGGCTGGGGAAGCCAGAGAGCCACTGAGCGCGGCATCTTCTCCGTGGTGTTCTTTCCCGCCAAGCAGGATCGTGTCCATGCCAGCAACCCTCAGTCTTCACGAAGGTAGGCTTCCTCTGTCTCTGTCTCTTCCCTGACAGCCTGCTGAGTGGTTGCCAGCATAGGTTCCTCTTCCTTCAACTTCAACAGCTCCTCTGTCTGAGCCTCGGCCAGCTTGGTTTCGGCCTTCTGGGACAGCTGCCGGGCTTCGTGGACTTGGGTCTTGACGAGCTGGATGTGGTTGTGGGTTGACACCGAAGCTTGGTCGGCCCCTGAAGAGGAGAAGGTTGACTCAATGACTTTGGGTTTTTGTTACAGAAGCTGCCTGCAGAGTTTGTGCATTTTTTAAGGCCACTCAGATGATAGTAAACCCAACGCATATTAAAGAGGATAGGAATCCAGCCATGCTAGACCTACTGATGCTAACGGGAGTAGGATTAACAACTCCCACCGATTTAAGTGGACTCTCATGTCTACCTCTAGATTTAACCTCACAATATGTACACCTCTCTTGGTGGTATAAAGCTAGATTGGTCTTGTAGCCCTCATTTCTCCATTAGGGGAACGATGATTGCACATTTTAAAATGAATACTGTCACGCCCCAGTTGGAATCTGATTCCGAGGGAGAGGTGGAACATCTGATGGGGAGTGAGAGTGTGGCTCCGGTGGTTGTGGAGGAAACCGGGGAAGGGCACAGGCCAGCTGGGCATTCAGAGGAAGACCCAGGGCCACCCCCTCTTCATCCTAGCGCACGCAGGGAGGAACGGAGAAGGGAGCAATGTGGTTTACGGGGGAGGAAAGGGCCTTGATCCCCTTCGTGCACTGCAGCTGGGAAGACTGTTTAAAACAGCAAACTGCGCATGGCAAAGTTGCTGGAACAAAGCGTGCATTATCTTTGTTGAGGCTTATCTGGGTTTTGGTGTCCTCCCAACTGTGTGTGCCTCATTATGTTTTGGAAGTCTGCAAGTTATTATCTTGGTCTATTGTGTTAATTATTTCAGTTTGGTTTGTGTTGGCTTTTTTATTTCTACTTTATCTGTATTTTGGGTTTGGACTGCATTTCTTCCTTTCGTAGACTGTTTTTGAAGAGTTTGATCTCCCGCCAAGGATAATTGGACATTGTGGGTGAAGTTGGAGGCATTAAAGGGAAATTTATCTACTTTGGTGACTTTTGTTATTTTTGTGCCACGCCCCGAGTCATCACAAATACACACACACCTTTATATCACATGCATGAGTGCCTCCTCAAGACCACCAGGCCAACTGGAATTCCTAATATGCTTTTAGGAGTTAGTGAAATGTTAAGGCGTATTTCTGAAAGTCTGAAGGGATTTATGTAACTCCACTATAGTTCCAGTCTTTTGGAGACTGTCCAGTGTTTCTTGATAAAACATTTTTTTTTTTGACAGGTGGAAAAATGAAGAGAGTATTTGATTCGGTCAACAGTTTGAAGAAGGGGGAAAAGAGTTAAAATTAAGAGGCTTGCACATATCTCACCTGACTGATATGCTGCTTCTGCAGCCATCTCTGAAAGGCGCAGGGCGGTCATCCACCTGGATTCTAATTTGAGATATTCCTGCTGCTTCGACGTCATCTGAACAAAGCCAGGATTAAACCATTAAATCTGGCGCACCCTTTGCACAGCTTCCAGATCATTCTCCTCTGAGGTTCCTTAATTATGGTCACCCCACTAGATATTACCAAGGATTTGACCCTCTTGGGTCCATACACAACCCTGTTCAGATGCCCGAGTCCCTGAAGGGCAAAAAGCACAAGATCACGTCGCTCACCTCCACTCGGGCCCCGATGATTACTTGCCAAACAGCGTCTTCTTCTTTGGAATTCATTTTCCCCAGGAGATGCGTGTATTTTTGGTACAGGGACACCAATGTGTAAACCGCCTGTAAATAACCCCAGCCTGTTAAGGTTGTACTTGTCTAGAGTTTAACATTCACTTTTTACTTTATGTTTGGTAATTGTAGCCCACTTTTTTGGAACCAAGCTTTCTTTTCTAGAGTGGCTTAAACATACAGTTGTATTTGCACCACCCTGCTGGATGTGGCATGCTGAAGGCGTCTTCTTACCGTTGTATATTCTGTTAGCGCATCAATTAATGCGTAAGTGGTTTGAGAAAGGAGCGTCCCGGTGCTGTCAGTTACTAAAGAGACTGCTCTTCGGATCAAGGATTCATTGCTTAGAGAACCCGGATCGTGTTTCTGAAAGACAAACATTATGTGTCGCTTCAGAAGCAGAATGACTTTTCCAAACTGGCAGAGAAGGAAAGAATGTGTGTTGTCATTTAAAAAACATACAAACCTAGGAACTGTTAAACAACTGGAATCTCATGTCAACTGTAAATGTTAAGAACATAAGAAATCGAAAGGTTTTGCTGGAAAAATATAGGGAGCAACCAATAGCAAAAGAAATTTCAATGAATCTGGGGGTTCTTACTGCTTTTTAGCCTCTTGGCTAAGATTAAGTGATGGATTACTATACATTTTAACTGCATAATTTCAGTAATTTCTGCATGCAACTTGGCTATTGCTGAAACTGATTTCTACTGGGCTCTATGTAGCTGTCCCTCACAAAAGAAAGCAATTTCTCAGTAAATAACCAGCAATATTTTTAAAAAAAGTTCCATTCTAGCATTACAAGTATGTGTGTGTGTGTGAATAACCTTTTCAGTCTGAACACCTGCAAAAGCTGTTAAAAAAGGGAAGAAAATAACAAAGACTTAGGATACAGTGACAGATTTACCTAAAGAAGGCAGCAAAACTAAACCTAAGGAGCAGCTCATATTCTGGCATCAGAACAAAACGGGGTTTCCCAGGAAGCTACCTGTGCAATGGGAATAGCGGCCAAGGTCATTCCAAAGCCCAGAGTGGCCATTTTCTTCCATGGCGCCCTCAGTCCAGGCACGCACTGTGTCCTCACGCTGGAGAATAGCGGAAAGTTCCGTCTGGAGGAAAAGACACGCAGCACGTTAAGAGAGCGTGCGGGGGGGGGGGAGAGGGGGAGAATAAACCAACAGCCCGAATCCAATGTTTCGAACGCCTCCTTGCAGCAACTTGTGTAAGAAAAGCGGGGCTTCAGAATAGAATAGAATTAGAATAGAATAGAATTCTTTATTGGCCAAGAGTGATTGGACACACAAGGAATTTGTCTTGGTGCAAATGCTCTCAGTGTACATAAAAGAAAAGAAACATTTGTCAAGAGTCAAGAATCATCGGGTCCAACACTTAATGATAGTCATAGGGTACAATAAGCAATCAAGTCACACTAGGAAACAGTCCACATAAATTGTAAGGATACAAGCGACAAAGTTACAGTCATACAGTCACAAATGGGAGGGGAACCGTTGATAAGGAGTGATGAGAAGATTAACAGTAATAGTAGTGCAGACTTTGGAAATAGTTGGACAGTGTTATAAACTAATTTCAAGTGGCACAATTGGGAAAGTGGGGCACCTCTCTTGAACCCACAGCACAGTTTAAAAAAGCAACATATAACAACAACAACGAGAGAGAAATCTGTCTAGCAACGGAGGCCAGTAGGTCCAGGCCTTTCTCTTTACACCTGAGCCGACTATGAACTTTTGTGCAGGGGGAGCTGCCTCTGGTTTCCTCCTCCAGCCCCACAGGGTGGGATAATGGGGGGCAGTTTCCTATCCTAACCCGCCCCCCCAACCCCCGAGATCCACATCAAGCCCCCTTTTCGGGCCCCCTTCTGCATCCACAGAGCCACCCACCCACCCCAATAGGGAGGACACCAAGCAAGGAGGCCTCGCACAGCAACCCCCAATGGAAAAGCCAGGCGAGATAGGGCTGCGGATGATGGGAACTGAGGCCCCCCAACCCGGAGAGGCCGCTCGTCAGCCGGCGTAAGGGGCCCCCAAGAGCCCGGAGTTCCCAAGGAAGACGAGCCTCGGCCTAGGAGCTCGGGGAAGAAAGAGAAAATACCCGAAAAAGGCGCAGCAGCGCCATAGCCAACGGCTCCTCGCCGACGCCATCTTGACTCTCTCTCTCTCTCTCTCTCTTTCAATGGCAACAAGGCGCGCAGGAAATGACGTCTTCTACAACGCCCAATAACTACAAGAGCGGGGAGACAGTTTAGCCCTCCTCCTTTTATGTGCCCACCATTACGTCATTCCGAGTTTCCTTCCTTGGCCCCTCCTCTTTCTGACCACGCGCACTTTATTGTGATGTCATCGTTTTCTTTGTGTTCCGCTCTAGGAAGGAACGTGTTTGCTTCAACTTCCAATGGAAAGCGAAGGTCTGCATCATAGAGCTATCGAGATCTAGATCGTCACACCATAGTCGGAAACAGAAAAAACTATTTTTTTAAAATTGAGGGGACGTGCGCATGCGTCCTAAGGACGTGTATTTATTGGAGAGCGCGCATGCGCCCCTTCACCCGTCACTTGAGTTTAGTACAAATTTTAATGTTACTAATTTGCTCCTCTTAACGCCAAAATAAAATTTTCCAACTTTTCAAAGGGGTTAAGCAGTGGATCATCATAATAAAAGCGAATTTTCAGAATGTTTCGAAATTACTTTTAATAATTATTTTGATTTCTATAATTATTTTTATTATTTGCACATTCCAATATAAGGCGTCTCAGGCATTTCACTCATTATTAATTGGCTCGCAAGATCTAATTAATGTATATTTTGCTGCTGATAAAAACTAACTAAGTCATTATTAACTTGATATTGAGGTCAGAATTAAACTCTTCTAAATCCTATGATTTTACACACTCATTCACACATTTCAGTTTATGCTTTGCACAAACAAAAAACAGGCATTGATATTAATCAAGTCAACAAGCTGGGTGGGAATTTGTGCTAAATCAGTCTGAGCTAAAACCTGCCAGTAACTCAATTATTGGGCAATTAATTTCTCGTGAAGTGAAACTGAAGCATTTAGAAGTTTCAGACAAAATACCTGTATCTGTACTTTTGTCACTTACATAAAGGATTGGAGTTAAAGCGTATGTTAAACTTTATTAATAAGAAACGTAAAACAGTAAAAAAGCAGCTTTGCTGTTACTTAACTTTTACCAAGTAAACATTTATCCACCTCTCAGAATGCGTAGGACTGTGTACACGTTCAAATCTCCCATTTTCCAAAAGCTTAGACATTGTAAGATGTAGCAATGTGAGTTGTTTCGCTTAATTTTTTTTCAGCGTTTAACATAGACAATCCTAGACTTGTAAATAATTTTATTGAGCTGTTTTTGGAAGAGGAAGCTGTCTGACACCGGAAATATCAAAACCTCATTTGAAAAAAAATAAAATAAAATTCAAAAGTGAAGATCAGGAGTTAAATTTCAGTGTTCAATCAAAGCGAGGAAAATAAGTCGAGAGACATCAAAGCGTTTTTAACAATATCAGGAAATAAAAGGCATGATACAACTTGCCAGCTTTTAATACGGATATCCCCACGAGATTATATAAAAGGAAAAAAAGATGGATTGGAGAGAGAAAGTGCCTTAATAAGTAACCGTCTGAGATTCTGATACTCAAGGAATAGATTTTAAAAAAAGAAAACCTTAGACTGAAACTGAGTAGTTTCTTTAAAAAGCGCCAGGATTATCACGAAACAAAATTAAAGTCTGGCAAAACGCTGGAAGAAGGAAGGGATCTTTTGTCCAGCTGAGGTCTCCAGGCTCCAGGCAGAACCACAACACGGGGGTCACTTTAGCACCAGGAAGTAAGTCGTCCATCCAGCCAACAACAGCGCTCCAAACAAGACGGTGTAACTGAAAAGCACGAAGGCCAGGAGTTCCTTCAGCACCTTCAGGAAATGGAGAGTAAAGGATTCTTGAACCATCCTGGATTTCAAAGGTGGCGGGGAAAACTGCATGGGAACAGCTGGGTTTGGAAGAAGGGAGGGGACAAAAGAGAAGGACAGAATGAAAGAGGCCAACGAACGGAAGCTGGCTGGTGATCTAAACAAGGATTTGAAGCAAGATTGCAGACAGAACTACGGGGTTAGTTCTGCCTAGGATCCTCGACGGAAGACCACCATCGAGCCCATTTCTGTCGCTAAGCGAGACTTAGCTGAATTGAGAAAGAAGCTTTATTGGGCATCGTGTTCTGCCTGGTGAGTAAATTGCCTAGGGTTAAAATATCGGTCTGTTTGGGAGTGAAGTCACTGGAGCAGCCGCCTCCAACCTTGTCAACTTTAAGCCTGGAGGACTTAACTCCCAGAATTCCCCAGCCAGCAAAGCTTGACAAGGTTGGAGGTGCCTGCACTGGAGGATAATTTTGCAAGCTTTGCTCATAATTTTTAGGAGAGCTAATGCAAGCGGCCAGCCTGATAGGATTCCAGGCTGTGCAGCCACAGAAGCTCAAGATATATAGCTAATATATCCATTAGTACCAACTAAACCCAGTCATCAAAGCAGTCAATTTTTCCAGAGGGAGGCCCCTTTAATATTTAATGTTATAATTGCATCTAATGGATGGGCTGCCGGGAAAACGATGTTTCTGGTTTAGCGATTATCTACAAATAGTTTGTCCTGCATCTTTCCATCCACCCAAAATAAGGGCAGGGCTTTAAAATCAATCTCCCCATCGACATGACTGCAACCCTGTAATAATTAGATAGTGCCTAAACTTTATAAAAAGCTCATTTTCAATCCCCCAATTTTTAGAAACATATGGTCGGGAATCTAATAAATGCCTTAAAGATGCTGCCGTTATCTTTATGAAGATTTGCAATATTTCGCTCTGAGCCCGTTAATTATACTGAATTTTCCTTTTATAAGGAGAAACCTACTGACAGGACAGCTAGTAATTAATCTCAGTTTGGTCCCCAAGGTGGAAAAAAAAAATCAAGCCAAGAGCTTGCATGCTGCTAATTGAGATTATTATTATTTCCTTCCCCAACAAGGTACATATTTGATAGCCAGCAAACCAAGGACCTGCAATATATTTTCTTTAAAAATAATAATAATAATGCTTTCAGAGAATTTCCTGAAAATCCCCAGAGGTCTGCTTTTTTCAGTAGCAGTGCATGTAAACACTTGTTTGGACGTGAACATTATCTTGCATAAGATTACAGTTCTTATAATTAAAATGCCACACCTATTAAAAAATAATCAAAGTTAATTATATTTCGATGCAGATTAAATTTCTCACCTTTTTTGGGAGGATGAGGTTAGAGGATCTTTTTTGTGGGTGTTTTTGAGCGGGTGTTCTTGAGCGAGCGGCTTCTGGAGGTGGCTGGACCATCTGAAGAGGCAGCACAAGGATGCGCTCTATTTATACACCAGACGAGCGAAGTACTAAGAGGTGTGGTCAGAGAGTAATTCTGCAATGGGATACACAGATCTTCTTTGTTCTTCGCTGCACGGAAAAATATATATATATCCCGAGGCTTTTTAAAAATGAAAATAGAATGGAAGTAATGAGGAAAGTGTTTTTTTTTTAAAAGGATGCTTCAATACTCGCCGCGATGAAATACACTTGTGTGCAAAAACACACAGTATAATAAGTTTGTTATCCTTTTAAGATACTATTGGAGCTTTCTACTTTTCCAAAATAGTACAGGGTAGGTTTTTAATCTCTAGCCACTGGGTAGTATAAATCTAAGGATCCGTTGTTGAGAATGTGGGAGTAACTTTCTTCCCACTGTTGCAATGATAACTTTTACTACGAAAGGGAGAATTACATGCTGAGCTGCAATCTTACCCAGATACACTATGCTTATTAAAAGAGATGTGGTTGTTCAACCCAAAGCGAATTATGATGACAGTTAAATATATACAGAGTTAAAAACGGCATGTTTTCCAATTCAACATCTGCTTTAAATCTTACATCATTTGGTGCTCAGGTCCATGTTTTGCTCAGCCACTGTTTGTGTGTCTGTGTGTATTTGTGTATGTGTGTAGCAACAGTCACTGGGCTCCAATCCCAGCAACAGACCGAAATTCAACTCTGCTGCTCCTGTCAGTGGGAACCATGTGGCCAAGTCCTTCGGTGACATTTTGCAGATGTCTCTGATTTGGGGGCTATCTTCTCTCTTGGCTATTTGAACATCCTTCGTAAATTTATTACGTGTATGTTGGTTCCCTCAGGCTTAAAATGAAGAAAAAAGGCAAAATTCAGAGGTGCTGAAAGTAACATGGGGGGGAAGGCAGGAAAATGGCATAAGGCACACAGGCACTCTAGAGAAAACTTTGCTTCTGCTTATAACCAATTTTTTAATGGTTTTTTTGTAGTAGAAATCTTTGCATTACGCCTGTCTCTAACCTGAAAAATATCTCACTGCTCTATTTAAAGTTCTATTTCCTTCTGCTTAGCTGGCTCTTCCTGGCTATTACACTCAAAAAGGTCTCAATTATCGCCCCCCCCTTTCTTTGGCTTAGACATCATGGCTCAACAAATGGACTCTAAATTTAATCAGGAGCTCTTATTATCAAATTATTAGCCTTGTGATCAGCCAGACTTTAACCAAAAGTAGTTCAAAATCAAACTACCCAGGAAGCCGTTAGCATATAATTATCTCCCTTGGGACTCAGTCAACACTGTCCAGAAACAAGCTTAACTTTCCTGATTCTCAGGTTTTGTATTCATGGGGCTGTGGCACTCTGGAGAATGGGGAGTAATGGCGGCTATCGCAATAATGGCATTTAACGGGAGAGAATCGTATTGTTTTCACAATGATAGGGAGAGATTCTGCTGGCACTAATGTAGAAACTGAACACGTTCAAAAAAAGCAACCACACACACGTATAGGCTGGGTAATGCCTGCGTTTGAGTCTTTATAATATTTATCTTCTCGGATTTCAAACATGATATTCCAGCACTTTTTAAACACGCTTGTTTGTTTGCGATTGAATGAGGTTCGATTAAACAATCACCTCTCATATTCTTCTCCCACTATTCTCAATAATGATCAGTGCAAATGAGTTTGTTCAATACTGAGGGCTTGTAAGCATTTAAGGAGTTATTAATTAAGAGAGCAGGATTTTTCAAAATTGGCAGCAAAGCAGGATTGCTGTAGAAAACTGCAAGAAACAAATCGAATTCCTTGAAAACAAGAGGATTGGGATAGAGCTGTATAACTTAGTGGTTATAGCTGTTATAGATTTACAAAGTTCCAAGCTTTAGAATGGCAGCCTAAGAAGGAAAATGGCTAGATTACAATTTACCAACATGATTAACTGCCTGGGGAGAAAAATTAAGAACATCTTTGGACTGAAGTAAGAAAACCAAGCTAACTACAGGATGGGAAGGAGGAGGAGGAAATATTAGGACAAATGTCCTGAAAGATGGTGAGATATACACCAAGGAAGAAGGGTTTCGAAACTGTAACAACAACAACAAAAAAAATCCGGGAATGACACTTGTGAATGACGCAAGGGAGAGGACCGAAATGCAGACTGCCAAGCTGAACTTTCTTTCTGGGTCCACATTTGTTAGAAAGCAGCTGAGAAACCATCTTCCTTTTCAATTTGGTAAGTCCACAATCCCCTTCTCTCTTCCAGAGGCATCTGTTTCTTCTGATGTAGTCCAGACCAGGGGTCTCCAACCTTGGCCACTTTAAGCCTGGAGGACTTCAAACGCCCAGCAAAACTGGCTGGGGAATTCTGGGAGTTGAAGTCCTCCAGGATTAAAGTGGCCAAGGTTGGAGACCCCTGTTCCAGGCGTACATTACGCACCGCGATCCCATCTCGATCGAGTCCTGCTCGGTCTAACCCGGCTTCTCCTAAAAAGGAGGCGGCTCCAGCTTCTCCATCAGAGACTTAATCCAGCTTGTCCCGTTGATCAGCTTGGTGGTGGCGATGACGTATTCGGTGCCCCCGTCCTCCATCTGCGAGAGGAAGCGGAGGGCTGCGATTTCGGCGTACGTCACGCCTCCCAGGAAGAAGACGAGAGTGACACGGTTTTCCCCATGCTGACCTGGAACGATCATGAGGAAAAATTGTGCATATATATATATATATATATATATATATATATATAGAGAGAGAGAGAGAGAGAGAGAGAGAGAGAGAGAGAGAGAGAGAGAAAACTGCCTTCACAACTCTACGTTGTGCTTTGCTGCTCATTTCCACCCACTCAACTGTTCATTGAACAATGAAAAAAGTGTCCTGTCAATGCTATTATTGGAGTGTGAGCAAACGAATGTAAACAAGGAGTCCTCAACTTACAACCAGAATTGGGACTAGCGTTTCTGTCGCTAAGCAAGGTAGTTAAGTGAGCCCTGATTTTACACCAGTTTTTAAGCGAAACGCTGCAATTGCTCAGTCAATCTGGCTCCCTCCACTGACTCGTCAGGCAGATAAGCCAAGCGACCGAATTTGATCACATGACCATGGGAAGGACAGGCGTAAGTACGAGGACTTCGTAACTCGCTCTTTTTTTTTTTTGGTAACTTTAAGCGGTCGCTAAACAAATGGACGTTAAGCCAAGGGCTCCCTGCAATACCATCATGGAACATTTGCCACACAGGAGGAAATGCGAAGTGCAATGCAGAATTTAAATGTGATTCTTCGTCTTCTTCTTTTAACGACCCCATAATCCCTTGCGGGGTGGAGACTGGACTATGGAATGGAGCTAGAAGAGTGTGGACTGGCCGGATGCCCTTCCTGTCGCCAATACGGAGTTTTGGTCAGCAGATATATTCTCACTGTGCCCAGAGATAATAGTTATCTGCCTCTACCTAGGATCGAACCCACAGCCTCCTGATTGGGAGGCGACAGCTCCACCTCTAGGCCACCCCAACCGCTCCCGAATTTGCCACCACGCGATTGATTAAACGTAATCAAGGTTCTTTGGGTTATTGTAATACTTTGGAAACAACTGGGTGCCTCCCACAGTGACCAATCACCCCATTTATATGGCCACTGGAACCCCCTAAGTCTACAAGAGGCAACCGGACTGTGGCTGTGGCTCTTATCCACAGTCCTGGAGCGCTTAAAAAAACATATTCCGGTTGAACGGTGTGTGTGTGTGTGTGCGTGTGTGTGTGTCCAAAGAGACTTACGCTTTTTTTGAAGTCCAGTTGGCAGCTGCTGCCTCTCCTCGAAATGTGGACCAGGAAGTATTTTTAGGACTTCTTCAATGCTCCGCCAACCTGGCCGGGCGAGCAACTGTGCCAGGCGAACGCTTAGAGGTGCATAGCCGCTGTAGACGTAAGAGATATCGTTCGGGTTCTGCAAAAACGAAAAAGCAAAGAAGGGATGGAATTGAAGAGTAACAGCAGGTTAATGTGGGGCCCCTTTGAAAAAGCTTCTCTTAAACAGGCTGCAAGAAGCCGAGGTGAGCTTGCCTGTTCGTTGACGTCGTCCATCCACAAACGCAAAGTTTTCCGGATGGTTGGGTAGTTGTTTCGACTGCCCAGCTGAGGCTTCAAAAGTCCAGCTTTTTCTAGGTTATTCAAGGTCAGGATGTGTTCGTAGCCGTAGGTCTGTAACAAGCACGAGGGCCTTTTAGCCTCAATATATTCATTTTATACATTATTTCTGAAATGTAGCCGCTGAGGCCGTAGAAACTGTCTACCTGCCAGATTGAAAGGGAAGGGGTGGGGCGGGGAAAGGGGATTTTCAAATCTATGAATTCATTTCAGTTTTCCTTTCAAGGATTGGAAAGTCCAGTTACGCCATTAAAAATGATTGATGACCTCTCACCATTTCTAGCCTGCACTTTTAATCTGCAAACAATTTTCAGAGGAAATATAGAATTATAAAGGACGAAAAGAGGAAGAAAAACTGACGATTGCACATTCAAGGAAAACGAATAAATCATAAAGGAGGATAAAATATCTCGATCTTTTCGTTGATTTTTTCTTTCTTTCCTTATCTGCGACTGTTTTCATTTGACAAAATGCTCTAAATTTGTTTCAGGCCTTCCCCAAGCCGTATCAATATTTGCCCTTGCAAAAGTCTAACCTGGAGAATTTCCTTCTTGTAATGATCCAGGACCTTCTGTTTTAAGCCGCTGTTGCACACCGATTGCAGGCAAACGAGCCTTAGTATTTTAATCAAGGGATACTTTCGGGCAATACAATCTTCTATGTAACTGTTGATCTGCGGAGAAAAAAAATTAAATTTTTCAACAAAAATCACGAACTTGCATAGTAGAGGTTACCTTCTTTGCAGAATTATGTGCTGAAGCTATGGAAGAACCTTCATGCCAACCATCTTGGGTTTCAAAAACGTTTCACGCCAATCCGACGAACCTTACACAAGGCTACCTTTCCACCTGTGGTTTCCGTTCACACCTATGCTGGCTGCAGAATTCTGGGAGTTGAAGTCTTATAATCTTATAAGTGGACAAAGTGGAGAAACACTGGCTAAAGGACTAGTTTGGACCACAGCAATCTGGGTTTCAAAGATGCTTAAACCCCAAATTACGGATGCCAGTTTCTTGGGTGAATGCCCCTCGCCAGCTAAACATCCCTTCAATTCCATGGGAAATTAGTTTATGCAAAACACACCAGGTGTTTTGAGGAAACATTGGCCTACCTTATCAGTATCTATGCCGGACATAAATTCTTGCTCCACCGTTAAATTATCGAAGAAGTCTTCGGAGGCTTACAATAGAAGAACAAAACAAGTTGTAAAGAAGTGACGATAACGGGATCCTGAGCTATTTTAATAGCGAGGATACCAATGAGATCTGGTCAATGGCCAATATCGCGGGAAGAGATTAAAACTGGCTTGGTCCGATCCTCGTTTAAGAGGGGAAACCTACCCTCCCTTATGCCCATCCCCCGAAAAAGATACTCTCGAGTTACTTACTGGTGATATCTTTCACGAGCTCTGCGATGGAGGTGTGGTTGGCCAAAGAGCTTCTGGCAGCCTGCATGTGCGGCAGCTGTGAGACGAATTGCTTGATTTCCCCCACGGTTTTGGCGTGGTGCCTTTCCTAAGAACATAGATCAGGGTGTCCAGAGCCACTCATTTTATTTACATCCTGCCTTTATTCTTTTTTGCAAACAACTCAAGGCTGAGAACATATCCAACACACCTTCCTCCTCCTATTTTCCCCATCATAACCACCCTGTGAGGCGGGTTTGGCTGAGGGAGAGGGACTGGCTGGCTTTCATTCCTAAGGCAGGACTAGAAAGCTCTTTTCCAAGTCTAAGGTGGGCCTAGAACAGTCTCCCTCTTCCTATAGCTTCATGCCTAACCACTAGGCTGAAACTGGCTGTCCTTCCCTCGTCCTCACAGCTCTATTAATCTTGGATTCTACCCCTTTTACCCAACAGCTAACAATCCCCTTCGCCTTCATTGAGATTGGCAGAAATCACAACATGTCATTTTTTTTGTATTACGAGAAGATCCCCTTCTCCTGTGTCAATTTTTTTCCTCTCCTGTCCAATTACTAAAGAATGGCCGAAATTGTCCAAAAAGCAGTGACTTAAATCCCCTGAACTCATCCAGTTTTATTCTTGATCCAGGAGAGACAATGAGGTGTTTGTATTTTTCTGTAGGCTGAAAGGAAACGGTGCTTGGAACAAGAATCCTTTACTGGGAACCCTCAAAGTGTCAACTGGCTCACCTAATTCAGTGACGTTTATACGCACAACGGACTTCCCAGCACGCCAGCAAAACTCAAAACTATTGCCAGTGGAAGAAATGGGCCGCAGGAAGATACTCCAATTTCTAAAATTTATTTGCTTTTAATGACGATCCATCTGCTCAAGTTTTTCTTAAGCTCTGCGTTTTCACCCTGCCTTTTTCCTTTCTTTAAAACCTTGTATTTTGGACTGAGAATCTCGGTGGGGAGAAAAAAAATAATAATCCAAACCTGCAGCTTCCTAAATTCCCCTTCCCTCTATCGACCGAGAAATGATCATCTGGCAAATCTCAGGCGGTTTTCCGAAGTGGGATTAGGGGAATTATCTCCATAGCAATGAAAAACAGAGCGTATTATCACCTCTTAAGGACCGGATAACCGCAAAGTGTAATGATCTATTAATTAACCTACCGAAGTTCATAATCTATATCCAGCTTTTTCAGGGGAGGATGTGTGTGTGTGTGTGTGTGTGAGAGAGAGAGAGAGAGAGAGAGAGAAACAAAAACTGTGCAAATCCCACACACTTACTGATGAGTGCAAAAGCGGAGGGAAGTGTCAACACTATGAATGACGAGCCCAGGCAGGCAGACCAGAAGGCTGGCCTTTAATGGGTCTCTCCACTCCGTGTAAGCTGCTGTTTCATTATCACCTATTACATCTGACGATGTGACGTCCCCTTTTCCTTCCTTCCAGTGTAAAAATACAAATATCCCTCTCGTATCAATTACGGAGCTCGGATCCTCCTGGCCCAAGAGAGAAACTTTTTCATTCATTTTTTGAAAATGTTTCGTTTCTCTTCCAAGAAGCTTCTTCAGCTCTGAATGAATGGTGGAGAATGGAAGGATTTATATTCCTTGCTGACAGCTCTCAAAAGACTTTTGTTCAGTGAATCATCGTGAATCAAGTTAGTCAAAAACAAACATAAACTGGCTTCCCCATGGCCTTTGCTTGCCAGAAGATGATGTGGTTCGCCGGCAGCCGGCAACAAAATCGGACAGAGGGGAAGAGCGGGGACCAGTCCAGGAGTCTGGGGAGGACTTGGACAAGGGTCCTGCATCCGATGCAGTGTTGGGGCCAGGACCATCTGGGAGTGGGGTGCTGCCTCTGGTGCCTTGCAGCAGCGAGGAAGAGGAACAAAGGGAGCCTGTTCCCAGTGCGTGTGTGCGCAGAGCTGCTAGAAGGTAAGAGCAGTTGAGATAAAAGGCGTGACTCTGGAGTAAGGCTGGAAGGTGGCTGCCCCTCCCCTAAGGTATAAAGGACAGGCAAAGGTGAAGAAACCTTTGCAGGAAGCAACGTTGTTCGCTCTGTTCAGATTAAACCTCGAGGCTCTGTGTGGACTTTGTACTTCAGTTGGTTTTTTTACAGTCAATTTTTTAAGTTGTTGGCAGCAATTCAAAGGATATAAAGGTGGGTGCTTATCTCGAGGGACTGTTTGGGACTCCTTACAGGCTGGGAATGAACATTATTCCCAGCGCTGAAATTAAACAAGAGTTGTTTTAACTAAGTGTGACCTTAACTACAGTCTCGGGAAGCCTTGGTCAGAACCGAAGGCTGCAAAAGGTCACACTGCAACCGTCATAGATATGAGTCAGTTAGCAAGCACCTGAATTTTGATCGTGTGACTACAGGGAGGCTGCAGTGGTTGTGTGAAAAACAGTCACTTTTTCAGTGCCGTTGTAACTTCAACCAGTCCCTAAATGAACCGTTGTAAGGACTACCTGTAGTGGATTGGTCACAACCTAGTTGGATTCTAAGAGGAGAAGATGGATTGACGTGTTTCTTCTGTCCTTCCTGGGCACAGGAGATGTGGCTGGCTGGGGAACTCTGGAACCTGAAGTCCACAGGGCCTTCCAGTTGCCAAGGCTGAGCATTGCTGTCCTACCTCAAAAGCAGCAGAGATGATTTTGGCCTTCTTGCTCAAGACGCTGCCCACGGCATTGAAGTTCTTATCCCGGATCTCTGCGTACAGCTCCTCTGCGGAGTTCAGCTGCAGCTTCTTGGCCTCAGTGGGGAGCTCCTTCGCGGCCTCCCCCTGCTTCTTGGGGGCAAATTTTTCGGGGGGAAGTTTTACGTAGGCTGCCAAACATCACAGAAAAAAAGGAATGAGACAGATGTTTTAAAGAAAGGCCCAGGAGAGACATATCGAAGATATACAGCTACTCCTCGACTTATGGCCATAATTGAAACAAAAATATTTCTGTTGTTAAGTAAGACGTTTGTTAAGTGAGTTTTGCCCCCCTTTTTACAACCTTTCCTGCATCTGCTGTTAAGTGAATCATTGCAGTGGATAAGTTAGAAACCTGGTTGGTTAAGTGAATTTGGCTTTCCCACTGTCAGAAGGGGATGATGTGACCTTGAGACACAGAAACGGCCACACATATGAGACAGCTGCCAAGCGGCCGAATTTTGATCATGTGACAGTGGGGATGCTGGAAAGGTGGTAAGTGTAAAAAACAGTCCCCTTTTTAAGTCCCTTTTTCTGACACAAAATTTGCTAGCAAGCAAACTCACAAAATTAACTCACAACACACCATGTATGTAAATATTGAATTTTTTATTAAAAAGAAAAGCAACTTTTACTCAAAATCAGACAAAGCAGGCAGGCAGATTGAGTTGCTCACAGAATCACAGATTCATTCAGAGATCTATCTTTCTGCCATCAGCTACCTGAGTCTATCACATAAAATTTGACTGCAAGCAAACCCATAAAATTTGCTAGCAAGCAAACTCACTGAACGAACTGTTGTAGGTCAAAGGCTCCCTGAATATGACTTGATTTTAGGAGCTCAGAATGGCCTATGGAGCCCGCTTCCTCCAATTTTCCCCCTCACAGCCCTTCGAGGCAGGCCTGGCTGAGAAGAACTGACAAAGTTTCTACCTTGTCGGTTAGAATCTTACTTACTGTTCTGAATCCCATATATTTCATCAATCAGGCCCTCGTAGGTCAGCTGAGTAGCCAGAGGAGAGATCAAATCCACATTGCGATCCAGCAGCAGCAGGGTATCGAAGACAGGGAGAATGGGGTTCTGGATCCCCGAAAACTCCCGCTTCATCCGGATCATCATGTTTGCCACATGCTGCAATCCAAAGAATCCAGGAGATTACAGACCAGGCCACCAAGAAAGATCAACATCACAAAGACCGGGCGCCTTTAAAGCTACGCTTCCCACACCCTGCTCTGCTGACCCAGCTCCCAGTTCCTAAGCATCCAAGCCAAGCAAAAGCCCCTTCCAATCCAGCAGGCCAACCTAGTTTCCACCACCTCTGTCTTATTTCAGACATTGCTTTTGTTCTATGCCCAAATTAGGTGGCAGACATTCTACTGTTCCGAAGGTTTGATCATCTGGAGTTAGGATTTCGTGTTGGGCTGCTCTTCATCCGCAACAAACCTTCAGTTCGGCATCTAAATCAGAGCTATCCAATCTCGAGAACTTTAAGACTTGTGGACTTCAATTCCCAGCCAGCCAAAATTTGTGTACCAGGTTGATCTCAACATAGATGGAATCTAAGAGAAGAGGGATGAAGTATTTTTTGTCCTTCCTGAGAACAACAGAGGAGACACACACACACACACGTGGCTGGCTGGGGAATCCTGGGAGTTGAAGTCCACAAGTCTTAAAAATTGCCGAGGTTGGACATTGCTGGTTTAAATGATTCGAACAAAGAGGCTGGCAGGAAGCCAAACTGAACAGGACAGACTTTCCGGCTTATTTTTACCCGTGAACATTCCCCTTTTCCAAAGATGAGCGGGATGGTTCCATAGAGAGCCTGGAGCGTCATGAGTCCTTTTGCTGCATGGTAGAGGCTGGTCTGGTCATTTTCTAAGTAACATTCCTACGAGAAAGGAAAGTCGCTCTCAGTTTTCCAGGAAGCCAGCATTTCCTGCCACCAGAAAGGAGGCCTGGAGTGGCCTCCTTAGTTCTCTCTGTGGGAATTCTGACCTTAAAGGCGTTTTCTGACTCCATGGACAGAAGATCTCCATCAAAGGGGATGAGGTCCAGGCTGTATTCCTCTCGGTGAACAAAGCAGTGCAGCACGCCCAGTTCTTTGAGGCGCTGCTCGCATAACAAACTGCGACGCGGCACGAACAGGATGTGGAAATCCCGCTGCGGACAGCGGATTTTATCTTCGCTGGAAAAAGAGGAGGAACTTTTATCTGATCAAGCCCAGTTTTTAATTTTAATAGTCTCTGGCCCAGTTCAAATGTCACCTCATCCATCCATCCACCCATCCAATATATATAGCACTCCGTGTCTGACTGTGGCAACTTTAAAGACTTGTGGACATCAACTCCCAGAATTCATGAGTCATGGCTGGCTGGGGAATTCTGGGAGTTGAAGTCCACAAATCCTAAAGTTGCCGAGATTGGACACCCCTGATTTAGATGAATAAGGACCCCCAATTCAAAACTGACTCTGGACAGTGTCAGATCCAAAACAGATACAAGACCTATAAACTGATTAAAAAAAAGAATAAGCAAAACTGGGGAACAAACTTATATTCTGATCCTCCTCCACCAACATAAACAGTAGTTTGTCCTGAAAAAGCCCACAGCCAACCTGGACTTCAAAATCCCCAGGTGACCTTACCTGAGGATATTGTCAGCAATTATGTCCATGAGCTCTAACTTGGGCCTGACAAAGAAAATAATGTTCTTGACATCACCTGGTGGAAGGTGACCTCCCTTGAGAGTGAACATTTTCTCCACCTCATGTTCCTGAAAGGAAATGATCAAAACAGTGACGAAAACCTTCAATTTGGTTTGAATATTTGAGAAAGAGAAGGGGTTTGGGGCTCAGCTTGCAGCTAGAGGAATATAGCAAGCCTTTTTTGAAATAAAGGATTATCGCTTTCATTTTTCAATGAAAGATCTCGTGCATTATCACATTTCTAGCATTTTTTGTAACTCTTGCCCATATCATACCTTCAGAAGAGAATATTGTGCAATCAATCCAAAGGGCCCAGTAAGATACTCATCCCATACAATAGCCTAAAGAAGAAAAAACAGATTTTTAAGTATGTCACAACATTTCTTCAAGAAGCTGAGAAACACTCTGAAGGATGTATAAATATATCCATGTATAATAAATACCAATAAGTAACACTAATGAATCCAAAATTTGACCACACAATTGTCTCCAGTGCAGAAGCTCTCAGTGTACATGCAAAGCAATACATACCAATGAATAACAAATGATAATTTAAAATAGCAATGTGCAGTAT